GCTTTTGAGCAAGAAAAGAAAAGTCAACTTGAATATATCAATGGTCTCAAGAAAAGAGCAGAGAAAGAATTGGAACAGATTTCTTTAGAAATGAAAAAGCTTGATGCTGAGAGAATGGCTATCAAACTAGACCGTGACCAAAGGGAGAGGGACTGGGCTGATCTAAATAATTCTATACAGGAGCTTGACTTGCAAAGGCAGAAACTGCGAGAACAGAGGGAATTGTTGCATGCTGATAGAAAAAGGATTAATGCTGAGACTGAAGAACTGAGAAAATTGGGGGATTTAAAAGCTGCATTAGACGATTTGATTGCGGCTCAAGTGCAGCATTCGACCCTTCAGAGTAGCCAGAAAAAGATCTCTGCCCAAAGGAATTTGACAGAACCAGCTGGAGCTTCTCCAAATTTTACTGTTACTGACAATGGCAATGGCATTAGCTCTCCAATGCCACAGCCAGGTGGATCTTCTCCCCTTAGCAGTGCTCGTTTCTCATGGATCAGACGATGCAGCGAATTGATATTCAAACATTCCACTGAAAAGAACCAGATTCAGCATGAAGAAAGGCCTTGGTCATCTGATGTTGAAAATGCAGGCTTGACCATGGCTAGAAAGTTAGATTCATCGGATGGATCTGTTGGGAACAAGTACGATGGAAATGGGAGGCAGACTATTAGCTCTAATGGAGAACCAAAAGTAATGGAGGAAATGGCCTGTGAAGGTGAGGTGGTGAAAGGAATGCAAGATTTGGAATCTGAAATCAAGGAAAATTACCCCAAAAAGTCATACATAGTTTCTGAAGAAGGGCTCCAGGCAACAAGGAAAAGAAGAGCTGATCACCTTCCTTATGAACTGGTTGATCCATCACTACAAGATAGGTTGGACACTAGCAAGAAAAGGAAGCAAGAGAAAGATTCCCTGTTAAATTCATCAGAAGTGCCATCTGAAAAGACTGACGGTGATGGCTTCTCTGATCTAGAAAATATAGAACAATTGCAGGAATTTGTTGGGGAAGAATTGCAGGAGATTTCTTGTGCTGGAGGAACATATGGTCAAGCAAATGCTATACAGGGGGTGAATGATGAATCTGGGGAACTTGAAATGGTGCAAGGAGCAGCACATTTCCAAAATGTTTTTCAAGTTTCTGAGCACAGTAAGGTAAAATGACATTTTTGGCATATGCTCATCAACAATCTTACATGTTCTTGCATGTACCTTACCACATAAATATTGAATTATTTTTCTTGTTCACGTTCAAGAGTTTCAAATTTTTTTCCTCCTTTAAGTGGTTCTCTAGCATGCCATTATTTCTAATTTCCGGGGTAACATTGGATCTCTTTATTGGCTAGATGAGCTCTTTCTAGTAAGGTGTATTCATACGGTTAATCAAACTGTATTTTTCTTATGGTCCTCCTATTGTGTATATGGATAATGGGTATTTAACATTTGTCTTAAAGTCAATAGGCCGTGGTTTTTCTAATATTGAGTTTCTTTTATCCTTCAAACTATATATTGTTTTGTGGGGTCAATATCTGCTTTTGTAGCAATTTCTTTTTGGCTGTGCACTTTAAATGTTTAATTTGCTATTGCAGCTGTATAAATTTATGTTTTGCAAATTTCTGTTTGTAGTCACTGGAAGCCACAATCACAACCACAACAGAAAGAATTGCAATGGAACTCGAAGAAGATGTTGCTGCTAAGCAAGATGTCATTGAGAAAATTGGAGGAAGGAGAAGATCAAAACCGAAGTTGTAATAATATTCCTTCTTTTCTGCTGTTGTACTTAATTCACTGCCATTTTGTATGGGTTGCTCTAAGGTACTTTTTCTCCCTGAGCATAATCTTGTGTGAATTATGGATTATGACAGACCTGATTGTGAAATATTCTTCAACCCACTTCTTTCTGGTGTCTTGCAGTTGCAGGATACTGAATGTTACTAATATTTGCTTGGGATGGGAGGGTTCAGCTCCCCTTGGAGTTGCCCTTAGGTGGGTGGGTCAGCTAACACAGGCATGGTTTGGAACCTGTATATGCTTGTCCATACCATTTATTTGTTTTTTATTCGTGCTATGCATATAGATGGGTTGTGTCTTTAGCTTGGTAGGATGATTTGATGGCTTGTAGGAGAGATGTAACTTGTGGTTTATGGCTAATATGGTAAAAGAAAACGTGTAGTGTTTCTCTATGTAACTGAGGCATGACTAATTTGAAGGCGTCGGGACTGATCTAGATCAGTTGATATTTCTGAACAAGGATGTGTTCATAATTTGAGTTCATATCTTTGTACCTCCTGGGAAGTTGGGAATTGAATCTTTTGCGGTCTTGGTAGAGCTAGAGACGATGAATTCAACCCTGAAAATTAAAGTAATGCCTTTTAGTGATTTGGTTATATTTCCTTTTGATTATGCATTCCGTTACCTTGGTCTGGTAAAACTATTTCAGTGATCTTTTCTTTTTATCAATTTTCTCTCATTTTATGCCTCTAAGTTCTTATAATGAGGATAGTGTAGGCAACTTGTTCTCTTAAAATTTTTTTTTGAAGGACTTGTTAAAATGCCCACATTCTAAATAATATTTTTTAAAATTGATTGTTAGATTAAAAGCTTTATTTATGTAGATTATACATATTAAATTTCATATTAATTTAATATTTATAATTTTTTTATCAAAGAAATTATTTATTGACATATATTTAACGGTATTAAATTTTTTATAATTAATGAAATGGTTAGGTTTACTCAAACAATTTGAAAGTTGGCATACATAATTTATATAAATAAAATTTTTAATTTAATAATTAATTTTTAAAAATATTAATTAAAATATAAGATTTTAGATATTTTTTAGAAAAAGTTTAAGAATATAACTTATAAAAAACTTTTTTTTAATTATATTTTGATTAGAGTAGAAAAAAATAAGGAGGTTTTTTTTTTTTTTTTTTTTTTGAATTAGTACAATTAAGGGATGAAGATTGAGATTGTCAAGATTTGAATCTTAGATTTTTATACATTACAACGTTTCTCAAAAAAGATGTTGTCATTGAATTACAATGGTGGTTAATGAGGATGTTTTTGTTTAAAAAGCTCTATAAAAATGTTTTTTTTTTTAAAAAAAATTTGTGTAGGATACCCCGTTGAAGATACTGTTTATAATTTTACTCTTCTAAAAATTCACTACAATTGAGTCTTGTATGAATTTAAATTACAGTTTTTCTTTTTAAGGGAATGCCAAAATCTGACGAAGTACAAGTTATTTTCCCTATTAATCAAGTTTTGGCACTAGTCTTTCATCATCTTAACAATAACATTTCTATTAAGTGGTGTATTTGTTCTGTTCTATTCTGTTGTGCACAATTTTAAGGTGATATCTGACTGTTTGTCCCACTTGGTTTTTTCCAATGCTCAAAAGTCATTTTGGAGTCAATTCATCCAACCATAACTTGTCCATTTGTATTGCACTTGATCGTCAATTGTGTTCTTTACCCCCAGGTTTTTCAGAAAGTGCATATCCCCTCTTGTACGAGAATTGTGAGCTTTATAAATTTTAAGGATATACCGTCAAAAACTGAAGTCCAAAACCGCATAATACCCCATTTCAAATGTAAATTTTATTTCCACAATTCAGCCTTAATTGTAGAGCAAACTCCAATACTGAAGGAACAAAAAAAAAAATGTATTTTTTTTTGTATTAATCTCTCTATTAATTTCGAATCGAATCACTTAGGATTTCATTAGGGAAGAAACTGCTCTAGCGTCTATTTTTTTATTTAGAAGATTCGAATTTGAGACCTTATTTAAGGGAATCAAATTCTTTTTACTTGAATTAACATATCGTAAATAAAAATTAAAATATATGGTACAATCCTATATATAATTTAAATTAATTTAAATTTATTTTTTATTTAATAATTTTTATTTTATAATTTAATACAATCATAACTCTAAAACATAAGGTTTTATAAATAAGGGGCTCAACAAATAAGCGCTCCAACAATTTCGGATCCAATGTGCCGTCCGAGTTGGTTCCACCGAATATGGGGCCGGCTAAAAGATGTAGGAACTGGTTTGCCGGTACATCTTTTTAAGAAGAAAGTTAGGCCGTATGAGTGGCCCCATAATATTTGCACGCCACATTAAAATGTGGACCTGCATTGGATATATAAATGTGACTAATTTAATTATTATAAACAAAAATAATTGACTTCTTTTGCTCAGAAAAGAAAAATTGATTTATAATACTGATTTTTTTAAAAAAAAAATTATTTTGAGTTATATAAGATAATTTTTTTCATTTTTAATTACACACAATCAACTCAAACCAAAAATCTCTTCTAAAAAACTTTTAGGATGGGTAGGTAATTAATTTCCCTTTCAAGAAATAAAAAAAAATCATGAATTAGAATATTAAATATTAACTGTGAAATAAGATAAATAAAAGTTTAAAAAGTATTTATATTTATATTTTTCTATTACACTTCTAAAAAATATTTACATATACAAATGAATCTCTTATTTTATATTATAAATTGTATCGTATTATAAAATAAAATTAATATAGCTCTCAATATTAAATTCAAATAGTTTTCACTACACTAATGCATTTTTATTTATAGTTTTTTGTAGGCCTTTTAGGCAATAGCTAGTAAGATGGACACGGTTTGATTTTGGTTGTAATTGAAACCGAATTATTGGTTAATTAAAATTTTGGTTATTAAATTCTAAAAATTATTAGCAAACTAGAAACAAAGAAATTTTGTTGGTTTTGGCTAAATTTTTAAGAATAACCCTTTGAATTGGTATTAATTTTAACTAAAAAATTATTTTTATATTTTAATTGTTTTAATTTCTTAATTATTATTTTACTAATTTTAATTATTAAAAAACTAAAAATTATTCAGGAAAATAAATAATTTGGGAAGAAGTGGCAAAAAAACCTTAAAAAAAATCTATAAACCATTAAAACATTTATATAAAATGTTTGTAGACTAAATTTTTTAGTTATACTTTACCCTAATTATTAACTTTTCCATTTTTAGACCTATTAATCAAAATTCATTCCATTTGAGATTGGTTTGGTTTGATTTTTAATAAAATACCTTAAGCCAAATGAAATTCTATTTCGCGGTTATGGTTTCAGTCGGTTTTAGACTGTTTTTCGGTTGTGAATTTTCCGCCCACTTCTAATACCCTGCTTTGGCTTTACGTTCTTTGGTTGAAAATTTGTGCTATTCATTGATTTCATTCCCCTTTTGCCGCCGCTCTCCGCCCTGTGTTTTCGTGGACCGCCGCCACCAGAAACAGAAGTGAAGAGAACATTAAAGAACAGAACCAGAGGGTGATAGGAGGAGAGTGAAGAGACAATGGACAGCACCGCCGTCTTAGCAAGCCTTCAGCCTAACTCCTTCCTTTACCCCTCTCGTCCTTCCTCGTCTCTTCTCCCTCCTTCCTCCATCTTATCCTCTCCCCGCCGCCACCTCTCTCCTCTTCAATCTCTCAGAGTAAAGTCTTTCTTCTTCGTATTTTCCTTCATTTCTCTCTACCGACAGTAGTTTTTGTTGTTTCGTTATTTAATCTTGCTCTGCTTATTTGCAGCTGCACAAGCAGCTCGCTGCTCCTGCTTCTTACAATGTCAATCCGTTGGCCTCTCCTTTCAAGACCGATGCCGTGCTTTCCGATACTTACAGGTCTGTGGATGATTGACGTTTTGGTTACTCCGACCAGTTTTTGGATTTGTGTTTTTTGAATGAAATTGACTTGTGTCTCTTGTGCGCAGCACGGAAACGTCTGAATTGGCTGACATTGATTGGGACAACCTCGGATTCGCATTTCTTCCTACCGATTATATGTATGTTATGAAATGCCCTCGGGGTGGAAGCTTTTCTAAAGGGGAATTGCAACGTTTTGGGAATATTGAGATGAGCCCCTCAGCAGGGGTCCTAAATTATGGACAGGTTAGATATTCTACTCTTATTATTGAGATGTTTTTAATCACATTTTTGTTTTAATGTCTCAAATTTTGTCCATTAAGAAATTACTTAATTGTTTAATTCATTTAGATTTAGTTCCTGCTTACTTATTATTTCCAATAGCCTGGCAATTCTTGGAATTTAATTTATCTTACTCTTGCATTTCTCAATTTTTGCGCTATAGAGAATTCTCTGTATTGTTTCCCTAAAGCAAACCTATAGATGGGGTAACGACTTTTGTTTGCAGGAGCTTTGATTTAATGTCATTTTTGTCACACTGGTCCTTGTAGTGGGATAAAAGTTATCCTATTTTTCTGAGCTGAGAATAGTTTCATGATGTGTGATGTGCTTGTATAATGCTATAAAATTTGGTAGGACCTTGTTTAAATTTTCTTGGTATGATTTGTGATTTATTTGTTTTTAGCGGGATATTAGTTATTTCTTTTTGTCACTTTCTCCACTTTTTCTTTCTAGGGATTATTTGAAGGTCTAAAAGCTTACAGGAAAGAAGATGGTCGTATTCTACTTTTTCGTCCTGAGGAGAATGCTCTGCGGTTGAGGATGGGTGCTGAGCGGATGTGCATGCCGTCACCAACAGTTGAACAATTTGTGGAAGCTGTAAAGAAAACTGTTTTGGCAAACAAACGTTGGGTAATATGGAATTTCAACTTTAAAGCTAGAGTTTTTGTTAGTGATTGGCTCTAACTCTTTGAGTGGTGAATTGTTAATCTGTCATTTCAGGTTCCTCCTCCAGGTAAAGGGACATTATACCTCAGGCCTTTGCTAATGGGAAGCGGAGCTGTTCTTGGTCTTGCACCTGCTCCTGAGTATACCTTTTTGATATATGTCTCCCCTGTGGGCAACTATTTTAAGGTTTGTTGACTTCTTTGCATCACCTTTCAAACTCATGCGTAGGCCTGAATGCCTTTCTGTTTTCTATTCAAGAAATATGGAGAGACAATAAACTGAATGTTTACTCTTCATCTGACGCATATGGCTGATATTCTTTCTTTGTAATCTGTCATTCACAAAAATTTTAACTTTCCAAATCTATCTAGACATCTTGAAAATCAATCATTTTTTTTCCTTTTTTTGCTTCCAATGGTTGAAGCAGAGACCAGTGATGTTATATGCATAAAAATACTTCAAAAGGATCAACTGCCATTATGTGTATAAGTCAGTCTACTAACCAAAAAGTTGTTCGCTCTTGTTCCATGTGAAGCTACCTTTATATGATAATGCTCTGCTGCATTTTATTCCCCCACCTGTGGCCACCCCCTTTCCCATCTTTCTAACATACATAATGGTTTATGATATGTTTCTGCTTAATGCTGCTCATGTATTCTCTTCTGCCCTATGTTCATTTTTGGGTATTGTTCCTGTTTTCTGTTTTTTTTATTATTTTCAATTTTCTAATAATCTTATCTATTATCTCTGATTGCAGGAAGGTGTTGCTGCAATTAACTTAATAGTTGAACATGAATTGCATCGGGCAACTCCTGGTGGCACTGGAGGAGTAAAGACTATTGGGAACTATGCTGC